AACCACAAGGGTTCAAAGACCCCTCACAACTTTATAGCCACTACCAATGAGGTAGGTTTTCTTACCTTTTTAAACCTTATCCCCAATTTTTTAACCCTTTACAGCTTTTCATGTCTTCCCTACACTTATTTTTTTTTTTTTTTTTGGGCCTTCCTTTCTCTTCTCTGCACACCATGGCTGCATTCATTCCCACAATTAAACTGTACTGTGCTAGATACCCGAAGGCCATCCATGGCTTACCCATAGGAATTAGTAGGTTGACACATGCATGAAGACTATGAAGAAGACCCAGGAAAGATACATTTTTGCTGTAAAGGTTGTGTGTTACTATGAAGGCCTTACAGCGACAATCACCAGATTGAGGAAGAAAGCAAGTATTTGCGCAGCTGGGATGCACTTAGAGGGGTGAGGGAACTGATTAAAGGAAGATTGTACGATAGGTACAGTTGTCCCTTAGTGCCTGTTCCTGTATTACAGCCCAAATCAATTTTTTTTCTTAACATTGTCCCCAGTTAGTGTTAAAAAAGCAGCTCAGGTTACAATACTCACTTACAGTTTGGAACTGTCTAGAATTTGGCCATTACCATGGTGCCCTGAATTCACTGTGTAATGGTGCAGAGGGCAGAACTGGTATCATCATGCCAGCATTGTCTCCTATATCAATGAAGACCACCCTGCCTGGAGAGGAGCTGAAGAGGAAGATGGCCCATCTCAACACCAACTAGAAGATCTCAGAAAAGTTAAGTATAGAAAAAAATAAAAACATACACCAGTGGGGGGGCAGAAGGGGGTGATTTGTGGGGTAGAGCCCAGAGTTGGGCTTCAAAGAAACTTTATCCTTTTGGTCTTGTTGCACTGTGGTCTGTACATTGTAAATGTGCATCCTGTTTATGCAGCTGGAGCTACCATGTTTCTCTATGGGAATGCAACCGCTGTATGGATACAGCCACTAGTCAGGCATGTAACGAGTATACAAGCAGGGCTGCCGATTGGGGGTTACCACCACTACAGGAGGGCCCAGAGAGCAGGGTGATCAGTGTGGCGGGACAGGAGGACAATTACAGAAAAGATGCACTGTGTCTGAAAGCCTGTTTCTCCCCCTCCTTCCCACCGGCTTTCAGCTGCTGGAGGGAGAGACACAGACACAGTGCTTCTTTTCTGTTATTGTACTCCCGCCCCCCCACACCGATTCCCCTCCGTGTGTTGCCTACATCTTATTCCCCCCAGTGTGCCAGGGCACCCCCCGCAGCGCTGCCGGCTTTCTGCTTATGTGGGGCAAGGGGTTGGTAAATATGTAATTTACTGGCCCCTTCCTTTTCTGAATTGGATAGTGAGAGATTGGTATCAATTGCTCCTGCGTCCATTGATAACTGAACATAGTAAACTGTGTTTACTATGCTTCAGTTGATGAATGAACAGGAGCATCTGTCTCCCGTTCGTTCATCTTCAGTGCAGCTGAGGACACAGAGGAAGGAACTAAATAATCTGTGTCCTCATTTCCTTTCTCTGTCTCAGAGGTGAGGATCTATTTAGACCCCTGATATTTCATGATTGAGCACAATCATTTAAAAAAAATGTAAATTGTAACAAAAAAAAAAAAAAAAATTGGCAAAATCATTAAAAAAAATTTAATTTTTGTAATTCTGGTGTGTGGGGGGCTGTCAAGTAGGCTGTACCCCATAATTTCTAACAGCATACCTGCATGCATGGGTGGGTGAGCAACCCAGAGCACAGACATTTCTGAGTTCCAGTTTAATAAGGAAAATGTTGGCTAATCCAAAGTGTGTTCTGTTCAGGTAGTGTATGCGCTGTTGTATAAATGTTGGTTTTTCAGATGTGTTTGTCATGCAATTAACGTAACAAAACTTTAGATGAATCATCATATACGTCTGTATTGGTAGACCCTTTGTTCTGCATTGCCTTTCTTATTTCTGCACAGTGTGCTGTCCTTCTTTAGTCCAGATGTACCTTCATTCCAAGATCACTAAATGCATTTCCAAATGCTTCTAAAATATTTGCCTTGAATCACACCATATTAGCCTCTTATAATACTTTTCACTCCAGAAATCAGGCTGATAGTGGGAGTGACGTCACTGTCATTCAGTCACACTTCTGTAATACGTCCATTATTCAAAACAATATTTTGGTCAAAAGCTAAACTACCAAAACAAGTGGATGCAAAGTGATATGGGGGCCTGGGGGGTGACGCTTACCAGGAGAGGAAAGGTCCAGAGTGGTAGACAGCAGCTTGCTCGGTGATAGAAAGTTGCATGAGGAATATGCAGAGCTAGGTTAGAAGGTATTTGCCATCGGCTTATTTATATTACAAAAATTGTTCATGCCAAATTACAGCCAGGCAAATCAGCTATCACAGTGGTCACATGATCACAGGTTCCCTATCAACCAATGATTGGGAGCTGTCGATGACAGTTTAGTCCCTTTTCCTGTGGACACGTGTGTGCGGATGCTCAGTGTTCAAGTCCAGCCACCCAGCCGCTGCATACAGGTGTATAGCCGACAAGAACAGGTTAAACTCGAAACAACAAATGTAAAATAATGCAAGCTTACAATCATTAGATGTGGTGGCTGCATTAGTTCTCTTTTTTTTTAGGCTTTTTTCCACCTAGTGATTGGTCCATTAACACACCCCCTGTTTTAGAGTGCCTACACTCTGGATGAAGGAGCACAGGGGGCATCCTATAGACAGCAGCATTCTCAGTCTGGGGGGGGGAAATAATGTTAGACATGGTAGAAGATGCTGGAGAGCTTCTTCTTTTGAAAAACAATCACCAGGTGAAATGATCACCAGGTGAAAATAGAAGAAAGAAGAAATAAAGCCTAAAAAAGAACATGAATGTAGCCATCATATTTAGGAAATATGATGCAAACTGCAATATAATAAATGTTTGCTTTTGGGTTTAATACCACTTGAAAAGCAAATGTAGATTCCTCCATCCACACCATCAAGGTGGGGTAGAGGAATCCTCCCAGCTAAGGACTCTCCACCTGCTTGTAAGCAGGTGCAGATAGCTAGTCTGCCACTAGGTGTCTCTGTCCTGGAATAGTGTGTGGTGGCAGCTTATAGTGTAATCAGGTGCTAGGTCCCCTTTAGCCAGAGCCCTCCTGTAGAGATGTCATGTCCATATTTAAAATGTTGTCAAGTGACCCCAGATGCTATGGCTATATGATATAACTGTAAATGCCATCTTAAAGTAACATCAGTAAATTGCAGGAATCCTAACTTTTTGTGTGGATGCTCATTCCGTGGCATATAAAGGTTAATGGCCGGTAATGTCGTGGGAAGGCCTCTGGCATGGAGATGGGCACACGATCAGAGTTCAAATTTCCAGAAAGAGGGTTGCTGTTTTTGCAAGAAGAAGCATGGTGGTGACTTGTGCTCTTGGGGCCAACAGACAGTCAATCACAAGCCGTTACATGCTGATTGAAAAAAAGTTTTATAACAAGCCCACTTGACAGAAGTCAATCGACTTCTGTTGAGCGGAGACCGTCACATATAGATCAAAGTTCAGCCAGTCCCTGATGAACCTCCGAATTTAGATTCATCGTTGGCAGCTTAAGTTTTACACACTCTAAAAAGCGATCCAAGCAGTTGTCAGGCATTTAGGAGCTAATCCTGCTGCCTCCTAAAATGTCTTTTTTTAAAACCAAACAGCTATCTACAATAGGATTAATAGACAGCAGTGCGACTCCATTTACACATATTAAATTTGCAATGGCCATGACGCAGAGCATCACAGCTACAGCATGTTAATAGCCTCCTCCGGCTGTATTGTAGGCTTTGGGGGGGGGGGGGGCATTTATAGGATTTTTTAGGATTGGTGCTGCCACACGAAAGAGACCTAATAGATCCAGCTGACTTATGAACCAAAGACAAACAAATGATACCAGCGCTCAAATCTTCATGCAGACTAGGAAATTGAGAATGCCAAAGAGGTGCTGCCCTTCAAAGATCGGGAAATCTGAATACTGGTGAACAAAAACAGACAAGGGCGCACTCTCATTGTGCATTACCGTGGAGACCCACGTATTTATCGAATAAACAAATGAATATATACTCACAAACCAACGAAAATAAAAGCAGAAGGAGTGGTCCGCAATAACAGCGGATGCAATGCTGTGCCCTAAGTATGGATGAGCTATATGGATGAGCTGATGCGTTTCGGGAGAGGAACCCCCCTTCCTCAGAGCTCTGAAGAAGGGGGATCATCTCCCGAAACGCATCAACTCATCCATATAGCTCATCCATACTTAGGGCACAGCATTGCATCCGCTGTTATTGCGGACCACTCCTTCTGCTTTTATTTTCGTTGGTTTGTGAGTATATATTCATTTGCTTATTCGATAAATACGTGGGTCTCCACCGTAATGCACGATGAGAGTGCGCCCTTGTCTGTTTTTGTTGACTTATGAACCAGTTGGCTTATCACTACCAAAAATCTTGGCAAAGGCAAATGTTAAAAAGTTAGGAATGTCCCTGGAAGTAAGGGACATTTGACCTGAATAAACATAAGGACATACATATGTGTGTAAAAAAGGAAAAAAAGCTCCTCTAAGTGCAGTATATGATACATTTATTGAAGAACACAATAAGAAACACTCACATGATGGAAGAGAGACGAAAGGCTTTGGCATGTGTAGTGATAATGGAGGACAGGGCAGCATCCTTGATGTAATAGCCATAGTCAGCGCTGGGGGAGACTCTGGATGTTCACAAGAAGCCGGCTGGCCGGCATGTGTGAGTTCCGAAAGATGGTGTCCGGAGTTTACCCTGGAGCGCAATGTCGGCGTCAGCGTGATGACGTAGGAAAGTCCAGCATGCAATACGACGCCTTTTGGAGCATGCGCAAAGCCAATAAGAGGCAGAAGCTCACTCCTTTCTGAACCAGAGCCTGCTACAGCTACATGAGCTTGCCCTAGTGCTATATGGACTTATTTTACATGTCATTTGGACTTTATCATCTACTTTGTTCAGTGCCCACCAGGGGCGGACTGACAACTCATGGGGCCCCCGGGCAATAGGGGATCATGGGGCCCCTGTGTCCTTGCCCAAACTCAAAAAAGCCTATGAAAAAGGTACCAGGGGCATCTCATGGGGCCCCCTACTGACCCCAGGCCCTCGGGCAGTGCCCGAGTTTCCAAATGGTCAGTCCACCCCTGGTGCCCACAGTCATTAAGAATTGGGGAATTTGTATTTGCTGATTTTTGGTTAATTTATTACTCTTTGTTCAGTTACACATCCACATGTGTAAACCACAACAAACAGATGTGTCCTGGGATGGTGTTTGTGTAGCCGGATATCCCAAGCCCTCCAGACGTACCATGTCCTCTTCCTTCTATCTTGTGGTCACAGACAGTGAGTTTCCATACATTAAAGGTAAAAGCAGATAAAGCTGACATCAACTTCCTTCCCTGTATATTGACTGAGGATTTCCAGTTCAAAAGGACGGCCTAATGTACAGCACTGTGCATATGATGTCACAGAACTGCACACACAACATGCCGTGCACACTCCTACACACCAATAATTATTTGATTCATTTTATATAGCAATGACACTACCGAGAGCCTAGCATCTTTTACATCAAAACTATGACTAGTCATAACTGCTCAGGCATCCCTTACCCAAAATTATTGGTATCAATAAAGCAGAAACCAGTACTGTACAAAAAGGACTGAACTGCAGAAAACAGAGATCATAACTTCTGTCTTTCGCTCATTGAGCTGCTTGAATTGACTCTTAATAGTATTCTTATTTTTGTTAAAAAAAATAATCCATACAAATCCACTATTTAATGACAATGTAATCTATTTTTCATAAAATGTAATGAGATAAATCTGCGCTAAATGTCTTTGCGGAGAAAAAAAATAATATAGCAGCTAACATAAAATTGACGGCAGCAATGGTAAAATAAAATATAGACCAAAATCTAGCGCTTGTTCTCTAACAATTAGCATAAATAATAAAACATTAAATCAAAAAAGTCCTTAAAGGAAAAAGTCCTTAAATTGTGACTAAATCTTCCGTAAATCACATGAACGGAAAAAGGGTGATGAACTGCCCAAAAGAGGGAAAGAAGAGATCCTCCACCAACACCATACACAGCCTCTTACCAGAGGATAAGACCACAGGTCATGTGGTCTTACACAGCATTAGCAGACGGTCAATGGAAAGATAGGATCATATATCTTCTCCTCCTAGAGGTACCTCCACAGCTCACACCACAGAAGTTATACTCCAAAATAATAGCCACAGAATAGTGATGGAAATGTAAAGACCAGAAGGTTTCTCCTCCAAAAAGTAACTCCAAGGTTTATAACTCAAGTGATATAATTCAATAAACTACCTCGGGATGTTAAGTTGCATGAAAAAGAGGAAAAAAGCTCCTCATGGCATAGTATTATGGTAATTCAATGTTTAATAGAAGTAATGCACTTACAGACAAACAGTAGAAAGAGCATATGGGTTTGCTATTGTTTCCAACCGACAAAATGGCCGTGGTACATGGCACGATGACTTCAGAGTTCCACCCTGCATGTTTCGTCATAGATGGCATCATCAGGGGCATCTATTTTTCATGAAATTGATTACTGTGTTTTTCTGCCTCCTTGTAACATCCTCTGTGAGGTCACAAACCTATCCTTTGCCCCCTCACTTCTGTTTGTTTAAAAACGAGTGGCGCACGTTAGTTGTGGTCATGTGCACTTCCCTAAACACACTACACATCCCATATTCCAGAGTCCATAGTTCATCTCAAGATGGAGAAAGAAAAGAAAAGAATTTGGCTATGCTCTTACTTACAGTGTGACCATGGAAAACTAACATAACCACCCTCTAACAGGAAGTAGTATTACAGCAGAGAAAAAAAATAATTTGGAGATTTGAAGGAGGCTGAAAGCCATAGAAAGGGCTTTTTTGAGTTAAGAATACATACTTGGATAGAATATAAATATACACTATATTGTCCAAAGTATTGGGCCAGCCTTCCAAATCATTGGATTCAGGTGTTCCAATCACCTCCATGCCAGAGGTGTATAAAATCAAGCCCCTAGGCATGCAGACTGCTTCTACAAACATTTGTGAAAGAATGGGTCGCTCTCAGGAGCTCAGTGAATTCAAGCGTGGTACCGTGATAGGTTGCCACCTGTGCAATAAGTCCATCCGTGACATTTCCTTGCTACTAAATATTATAACAAAGTGGAAGCAACTGGGAACAACAGCAACTCAGCCACGAAGTGGTAGACCACGTAAAATGACAGAGGGGGCATGCTGAAGTGCACAGTGCACAGAAGTACACAGAGTCAATAGAAAGACCTCCAAACCTCGTGTGGATTTCAGATTAGCACAACAGTGCGTAGAGAGCTTCATAGAATGGGTTTCCATGGCCAAGCAGCTGAATCCAAGCCTTACATAACCAAGTGCAATGCAAAGCATCGGATGCAGTGGTGTAAAGCACGCCACCACTGGACTCGAGCAGTGGAGACATGTTCTCTCAGAGGAAAAGAGACAGGAGGTGCCAATCTGAGTGTAGTAATAACACTGTATTTAATAGCAAAAGATTAAAAACACTCACAAAGGAAGTAATAAAATAAGCTCTATGTATATAAGATAAATAAGCTCTAATCTATGTATATGAGAGATGACTGTTCCTCAAAACGTCCTGCAGGCACCACAGGTGGTTAGTGCAATAGCAGCTGGGCTGATAGAGATGGTAAGAGACACTGGAGTGGTCAATCCTGCAGAATGGTGGTGTTGTAGAGCCGGTGTTTGTGCAGGAAGGAGCCTAGTAACCAGCCTGGAACACCACGGCAGAATGTGACATCACAGGAAGAGGTGGGGGGGTCAGTGGGGAGGAAGAGCACAGATGTGGGACAGTCAGGCTACGCGTTTGGAGACTCTAGCTCCTTCTATTGGCCTCTCAAATCATGCCTCTCCATCTGGCAATCCGATGGACGTGTCTGGGTTTGGCGGTTGCCAGGAGAACGGCACTTGCCTGACTGCATTGTGCCAAGTGTAAAGTTTGGTGGAGGGGGGATTATGGTGTGGGGTTGTTTTTCAGGGCTTGGGCTTGGCCCCTTAGTTCCAGTGAAGGGAACTCTTAAGGTGTCAGCATACCAAGACATTTTGGACAATTTCTTGCTCCCAACTTTGTGGGAACAGTTTGGGGAGGGCCCCTTCCTGTTCTGACCTCAACCTGACAGAAAACCTTTGGGATGAATTAGAGCAGAGACTGCGAGCCAGGCCTTCTTGTCCGACATCAGTGCCTGACCTCACAAATGTGCTTCTGGAAGAATGGTCAAACAGTCTCACAGACAAACTCCTAAACCTTGTGGACAGCCTTCCCAGAAGAGTTGAAGCTGTTATAGCTGTAAAGGGCGGGGCCAACTCAATATTGAACCCTATGGACTAAGACTGGGATGCCATTAAGGTTCATGTGCATGTAGGCATCCCAATACTTTTGGCAATATAGTGAGTATATATTTTTAAAGCGTTTACTATCACTTAAAAGCAAATCTAAGGGTCCATTCACACTAGTGCGACTTCAAAACTGTGCAATTTCCAGTGCAAATTTACATTGTGACTTTGATGCAACTTCTGGGGACTTTGATGCTACTGTAATGCGACTTTGGATGGATGCGACCTATGGTTAGGAGCGGGCAGCCAAGGCATCCTTAATAACCAGTGAATAGTGGGTTGTTAAGAAACAGGTGGCTGTCCATGACATCTGATGACTCATCAGCTGTCTGCGGGGAATGTAAGCAAAGGAATTCCGGCATTAAAATTTTTTTAAAACTGGCTGGTATGGATTTTAAGGGGAATTTCACTCTAAAATTTAAAAAAATGTGTGGGGTCCCCACCAAAATCCATACCAGTCCCTAACCAAGAATGCAGCCTGGCAGGACGAGCGAACGTTCCCCCCCCCCCCCGAACCATACCTGGCCACATGCCCTCAACATGGGGGGCACTTTGGGGAAGGGGGTACCCCCAAAGCGCCTTGTCCCCATGTTGATAAGGATAAGGGCCTCTTACCCACAACCCTGATCCAATGATTGTGGGGGTGGGGAGGGCGATTTATCAAAATCTGGAAGCCCCCTTTAACAAGGGGGCCCTCAGATCCCGGCCCCCTGCTATGTAAATGAGTATGAGGTAAATAGTACCCTACTCATTCACAAAAAAGTCCTTTCTTTAAAAAAAGAAAAATGTCCCCGCCCCTTATGATATCATCTATCTAGCATACCAGTGTGACTGTGTGTTTTTATTTAATTCAAACTTTTTGTTTTCACTATGTACCCCATACTCATTCACATAAAACCGGAAACCAAAATCTGCCAGATTCCGATTAGTCACCCCCCCCCGCACCCTCACAACAACCGGGCAGGATTGTGGGGAAGAGGCCCTTGTCCTTATCAACATGGGGACAAGGTGCTTTGTAGGGAGCCCCCCTACCCCAAAGCACCCCCCATGTTGAGGGCATGTGGCCTTGTATGGTTCACGGGGGGGGGCGCTTACTTGTTCCCCCCCCCTTTCCTGGCCTGCCAGGCTGCATGCTCGGATAAGGGTCTGGTATAATTTTCGGAGGAACCCCCACGCCATTTAGGAATAAAATGTTGCCATGGAGTTCCCTTCAAAATCCACACCAGACCTGTAGAGCCTGGTATTGATTGAGGGGGACCCCCACACAGTTGTTTACTGGTTGTAAAGGATATATTTTATCTACTGGGAAAAGAATCTGGGTAATTTCCAGTGGTTCCTTTGGGGGTAATGCTACATAATTAATAGTTAATTGTCATGAATGGCTTTCCATTTCTTACTGTAGACATGCTGTGATTGGCTACAGCTAATCCTAACCACATGGTACAGGGTGCCAGATACTATGTGATTAGCTGTAGCCAATCACACGTGTCAACAGTAAACAAGCTGTCACTTATGGAAAGCCATTGAAAACAGTTTGCTTGCATAATATCATGTGATCATTATGATTGGTTATAGTGATCACATGATAACCCGTCACTCAGTCTTTTTAACTGTTTATCCTGTAAGTGCAATTTATCCATTGTTTACTAAATAAATTGTCAATACTGCACTTAGAGGCACCTTCCTCTCTTTTTCTTGTTACTGCATTAGAACCTTGCTTCCACTTTAAGAAGAGCTGCCTCAGTG